CAGCTTATCCGGAAAAAACATCTTGTAGTCGCAGCGATTCTGGTCATCTAACAATGATTAACTCTTGATTCAGTATGAGGCCCCTTTTGGCCCTCGACAGTGAGTATAACCAATAGAATTCAAGAGATGGAAGAGAGAAGCTCAGCTACTGAAGACTCGCTAGAGGATATACCTTCATCAACCAAAGAAAACCTAAAGTCCAACAAATCACTAACACACAAACCAGCGGCTCCTACTAGGTCAAGTGTGGCCCAGACACTTTGCTGATGTGTTTTCACACATGGCGAGTGCAATGTGACTGTGGAGCTGACTCCTCTTGGTGTGAGAAGGTGATGTTTACAAAGGTAGTGATCCGAAAGTCTTATTTGTCAGCACACACTAAACTAGAGGAAGGCACTGGATACTGTGTGGGAGTTGTTTCATTCGTTTACATGTCACATTTATCCATCATGGCAGTGTCCCCAGATCCCAGGTTCCTGCTCATCACATTCTCACCCCCTGTGACATAGTTGGGCATAACACAGCTGCCATATCTTTGCCTGAATTAACTTAACATCTACATTGTTCTAGACTGAATCCTCACCACGTAAGCAGATACCACAGTCTTTCCAATTTGATGTATCTCTGTCAAATTAGTGTTCCTTGATCATTTCAACAGGAAACCACTCCCCTCTCCTCCTTGGCATACTCTCCACTCAGAGAATCGGGACTCATGGATAGAGCAGTTTGGTGGATGGGTAGATAGACTCATCTGAGCTCTTCTTTCCTTGCTGATATTCATGAGTGGAGGTCAGTCAGTTGCCCCTTAACCCTCATAGTAGAAGGTTACTGATAATAACTGCCCTCCAGGCCAGCAGCTGGCAGGCACTCTACCATCCTGTCCTGTCACCAGAATGGACTCTTCGTTCTTTTCCATTTTTTCCCCAAGAAAAATGATGGCATGATACTCTATCCCTTGGGGATTTGTAGGAGCCTGGATCCCCTTGGCCTGAGTACCATTGGCTATTGTTTACACATACAGCCATGAGCATATTCCTGACTTTCTCCTCTGCAGTACTCACTTCATGTAGACTTCACTTAGAACACAAGGAAACAGTCAGGCCACACTGCGGTTTCTCTCACTGCTCTGCCTTACCATGACTTCTATTTCTGGCATCTTTCTCAGGGTCCCACATCAGGTATCACACCCTGCTGTTAGAGTTCTCTGCCTGGAAAGGGCTCCATCCACTCTCTACAGTAGCCGCTCACATACATAGTTATGGAGCCCAGCCCCCACCCCATGCATTCAGGCTAAGAGACTTTCTGGACCCTGGATGCCTTTCTTCAATGTTAAAGTTAACCTTTCTCTTGCTGGCAGCATAACATTCAAGGTTGGTGTGTCTAGTCTGTAATTCAAGAATATTCTCTGGGGCAGACAGAAATAAAGGCTAAATGAGACTTCTGTTTCTAAAACCAACCAACTTCTACAGTAAAAATCATCATGGGAAAAGGGCTACTGAAGTAAGGTTAGAGATGCTAAAGATTTCCATTAACAAATACTTCAAGACAAGATAGATCCCAATCCAACCAAAGTAGTGATCCATTGAGCAAACAGATTAACTGGGTAGGCTGAGTGGCAAACAGTGGACCCCACTAGGTTTAAACAGCTTAGAACTCAGAAGGTAGCCTGGGTAAAGCTACTGACAGTTTGGTGTGTAGTCCCCCAGGAAGCTCCTTTAGTGACCCTGGGTGACAGATGCTTAGTGCCATTGTCAGAAAGGGGAGAAATGGTGTTTGAGCAGCACTCCTCCATGGCCTCTGCTTCAATTCCTTCCTCTAGGTTCCTGCCCTGACTTTTCTTATTGATAGACTGTCTTCTCTAAGATGAAACAAACCCTTCCTTACCTGGGTTGCTTTTGGTTGGTGCTTTATCTCATCGACAGATAAGCCAAGTCAAATACCACAGGGTCTGATCCTCCCTGTTCGAGTCAAAGCCAGTTCTCCCAAGGGGACAATACCTGCTGTCAGAAGCCAGCCTTGGCGACCCCCCATGCTTAGCTAGCTGCTAACCAGTCTAGTCCCCCACTCCCTTATCACAGGAGATTCTGGATACCTGCCTGAGAAGCAACTAACACCGATCCCTCCCCCCCATTTCCTTAGTTAGTGCTTGAGATGAACACAGGAGATTCCGGATACCTGCCTGAGAACAATTAACTCATCCCTCTTTGCAGGCGTGATCCACCTTGGACTCAGGAATTACTGGAGCCCTGCGGGCCGGGGCAGGTGGCGCCCAAACGTGCGGCTCGAGGTACGGATTCTTCGTCGGAACGGAGACCCCCGCCCCAAGGAAACCTCGGTAGTGCACACCGACAAGGAAGTCTGCTCGCCGGATTGCGACGGACGCTGGGCTGG